AATAAAAATTCTTGCAAAACATATTAAAATATAAATATTTTTCAATAAAATATATTATAACAATTTTCAATCTTTCATTTTTCTACCTCATTTCTATTTACTTAAGCATAATAAACGCGTTATATTAAAGAAATTTTAATTCAACAAATTAAATTATCGCAATGCAAAGTTTGTCACGCTTGCTAAATTATTATTGGTCGTTTTGCCAAATAAGTATAAGTTGAATATTTTTAAGACTACATTTTCTTATTTTTTTAGTTTAGAATAATAAAATATTAAATTTTAATTTTCTTTTTTAATTTTAATTTTCGGTATCAGAATATTCATAATATGGAATTTTATTGCAGACGTTTGTTTCCAGTGGATATGTACCGTTTTCCAAATCCTCTTCCAGATATTTCTTGCAAAAACGAGATATAATACTTGCACCAAGCGCGTCACCTATAATATTGATTGTTGTTCTGAAACGATCGCTGCAAAATAAATATATTTTCTTTTTTACTGCAAATACAAAATATATTCATATGAAATTTGTTACGGAATATATTTGTAAATTTATGATTTTTCAACTTAAATGAACGATATCGTATTCACATGAACCAGTCGACAGCGATAATCAGTGAAACATCTTCAATGGGTACTCCTATAGAATTTAACACCATTATTAACATCATATAACCACCACTGGGTATACCGGCAGCGCCCACGCAGGATACCGTACATGTAACACTATAAAAATATTAAAGTTACATAAAAAATTAAAAGATTTAATTCATATTGTTTTAAATTATATAGAATATTTCTCCAAAAAAGAAGCAATTTAATCGCGTTCAAGTCAATTACTAAAATGTTTTAATCACTGACCTGATAATTATTATCTTCAACAATGAAAATTGCAGTCCACGTAATTGTATAATAAATATCGCCCCAATAGTTTCATACAGCGCTATTCCATCCATATTTATTGCTGCTCCAATCGGTATAATAAAATTTGTTACTTTGGGATTTATGCCGAAGTCTGCTAAACATTTTATTGTGTAGGGAACTGTGGCGGTGCTAAATTATATATTTAATTAGAACGCGAAATTTTGTCTTATTTGCATGTCAATTTTTTTTTTATACCTTGACGATGTTCCAATGGCTGCTGCAAAAGATGGACCAAGCTTGGATATAATTTTATATGGCGATCTACGCGTAATGATCCAATGAAGGAATGGTAGGATCACAAAACCCTGCAGTATTAGTCCAATGAACACTGTTAGGATATAAAATACAAGATGGCTTATTATATCGCTAAAATCGTCTATTTCTAGCATTCGACCAGCGATAAGGAAAGTCACACCTACTGGTGCCAACCTAAATAAAAAAAGTTTTATTATTCATGTGCAATCTAATATATTCTATATGTTACATATTTTTTATTATTGGATTATATTATTAAATTATATTAAGAAATTTCATACTTTAACGCGCTGCAACGTACAGTGTTACCCATCTCATAATTTTCATCGTGACATCGGCTAAGGAAGTAAAAAAGTCCGACAATGGCTTTCCTTTTTCACCTATTTTTCCAATTGCTAAACCTATTAACAGACTGTAAAATACTAAACCCAAGACATTTGTTCCTGCTACATATTCACTCGTTATGGGCCATTCTTCTATTGGTACTATAACGAATTAAAAATATGCTTTCATAAAATGTGCATAATTTTTAAGTAATTACATTACAATTAGCTTACATTTTCATTTTGTATGAACTTTCACAAATAGCTGAGAAGCAATATTTAAAATTTAATTTTTATTTTTACACTACTCATAAACCTGTATAAAATTAACTTATAAAACTTCTTTTGTTATTTGCGGCTCCAAAAAGTATCATCCCAAAGACAAATTATTTTTAATAACATTCTAAAAAAAAATCTAAAATAATTAAATAGACGAAGACGTGATTGCAAGTTACAATTTAACAAAATTGTTGAAAAAAAAGAGAAGAGCAAGCAAGTGAAAATATATGATGTCTAATATGTATTGCAGTACCTGATGCATTGACTGGTTGTTCTAAAACAGTTTGATACTGTAATAAAGAAAATATTATAATTTTAAGATTTTTAAGGTGCTGTAATAAGAAAAGAGATTTTTGAAATAGAGATAATATAATCTAATATTTAAAAATTATATTATTTAATTAAACATACATTATACATACATGCACGTACTAAATTTTCGGGTATAAGATTACTG